TAATCTCGCTCTGACGTAGCAGAGGGTGCCTAAAGTTCACAACTGACATACGCAGGGATATATTGTTTTTTTGTATCCATTGGGGTATCATTTCTGTGTTCTGAGAGGCCAACTCCTAGCGTTTTCATACAATGCTGACTTGTCATGACCAGAGCAACTAAAAACTACTCGGTGTGGGATTTGAACTGGATTGTTTTTTGTTATGTATGTCAAATATTAATTCTTTAGGAATTCCAGTGGATCCTGTGATGCGACATTATATTAATTTACTTGACAACCATCGTAATATGCATTCATGCCATTACAGACAACTAATTTTGCTATAAAGTTCAATATTAATTTGTTGGTTGGTTTTTTTCTTGGTCAGTTCTTTTTTTCCCAGCCTATTTTTATATTTGTACTCGATGAACTACCATTTTCTAAATTTAATCTTGCAATGCGAATTATTTTGATTAAATCTCCGTTTTTAAAGCATGTACTTGTTTTATTTGTATTCCTTACTTGAACCTCACTCCGACAGGGAACACATATCTCGTAGCGACTTTTAAAAACACAATGTAGTAAGTGGTTTTAGTATTTTGTTATTCAGGTTAGGTAACGTTGTCTAGACGATCATGTACCATGGGGTTCAGTTAGTGTGGGAGGGAAAGTTTTTAATTTAACTTTTGAGTTGCGCAGTCGCGGGGGGCTGGCCTGGGTACGTCACACTAGCTCTCTCAAACATTTGTATTTGCAATTATAATTTATTTGTTAAAACAACAAAATTGCGATCGATCAAAAATTTCAAAACGAAGATTTTTTGATAACCACCCCAACGAATTTTGAAAATAAAACATAAAATCCCTACACTATCTACTACAACAGTTGTCCTAAACATTTTTAAAATGCCAAAGTTCCAAATGAATACTCAATTTTGCGTAACCCAATGGGGATAGTCTTATGTGTATACAAATTGTACTACGGAAGATGAGTAACACTGACGTCAATTAGCTGAACAGGTCCATTGGTCGTCGGTTGAATCAGTTTTATTACGCGGGTTTGACTTCTGCTATTGTTCGTGTTACGCAATATTACCAATTCGTGGAGATTAACTTTGAATTTTCTTCACATTTAGCACTTGGAGCGATTATTGTTATTTTCAGTGAGAGTTTCCCTTTATAAACAGAAAAATTCTTCATGTGAAAGTCGCTACTGGCTAACTGGCTACACACGTAATTTCTCCAATTGGATTCTATGGCTGATCAACTTAACTTGAGGTTCGACACAAGCTTTTTTGTAACCCGGCGCGTCTCCTTATCTTCACGTTGAACGCGGCACAATCCCCACTTTCTCAATTTTACAAATACGCCTTCAAAATGGTTCTTAATCGGTTCCAACGACCATCTTAATTCGTTCTACCAATCGTAGACCAACAACCACTCCGAAAGGTAATTTTCGAGGTAATTTTCCACGAGCAAAAGAGCGACGAAATTTTGGAGAAATCTGCCCTATTATAAGATCACCCTGTGCATCGTATGATACCCAACACTAAAAAGCGCTCCAGACATTTAATTGATTGGCGTTAGTAGAAAAAATGATCCAACAGGCAATCCTCTGGCAAGAAGAAACAAAAGGCAAAATCTGGAGCAAAGTTTTTTGAGTTTGTGTTTCACCTTTTGTTCAACGGCCACAAGGATTCAAGTGCCGAGCACCAATCACTTTGTTAATGAAAAGCGACGAGCAATTGCATAAATTCATGAAAAATACCTATTTGTGATAACATTGAAAAATCCTCTATTTTATTAAAATTATGAGCAAAGTGTTAACGATTTACTAATTCAATGGTTGCATCATTTCGAGGGAATCGTAGTCATATAAGTAACTTGTGTGATGCTACAATGTACTAACGCAATTTTTCATTTATAATCATTAATTACCCAAAATAGCATATTAATTATCGTATAATATAGGCACGTCAAGTTAATTTGGATTGAACTTTACCTTTTATACTTCCATTCATCATTCATCAATACAGCGAAGAAGATGTATGTCAAATATTTCTCACAATTTACTTCGCCCTACTGAATTCTAGGTACACAGTTTCACTTCAATTTCATGTTGCCTTAATCGTAGGTAATTAAAGGAAAAACCAGAACTACTTTGCATAATGAAAATAAAAAATTAGCACGACATGTATAGGAATTTGCTTGTTAAAATCAAACAAATATGCGTACAGTTTTTTTTTGCAATTTTTAACGTAATGGTTGCAAATTACATAAACCCAGATACCGCAAGAGAATCAATTATACATATGTAATACTATAACATTTATAAAATTGTGGGCGTTTCCGTTACTTTTTTGGCAACTATGGTCTACGAGGAAGGGATGAAAAATTACCGGCCTAATTTTCTAATAAATTCAATCAAGTGACATGATTTGGTTTGACATTTCATGACAATATGTCGTAAGTGATATTTTTATACTGCTTATATTACGAAATTTTGTTGGGTGGTCGAAAATTATAAATAAAAATCAAAGATAATTACGGCCACGATCATCCCGGCGATTCCCATCCTGGCGATGGGAGGTTGGAAAACATTTAAGACGAGGTAAACATATGAAGTAAATTCATGTTTATTATATAGAAACAATTCACCGGAATTAATTAAGTTTTCTTATTTGTTATTGTACACAAATTTTTACTAAAAGCTTTCTGCTGTAGTGTAGATGTGCAGGCTCTAGTCTATTCAGTTGTTTTTATTTCAGAAAACCAATTAAAAACCAATACTACATTTGTAATTACGTATAAGCCAGCTGATGTAAATCGAGAAAAAGTGAAGTTTCAGAAGCATTTTCTATTGGGTTTTGTCTTTCTTGTGCTTCATTTAAAATAAATTGCAGTAGTGACCGGATGTTAAGAGTAATTTTATTAAACTTTAAAGAAATTAAATTTCGAACGCACGTGCGTGGTATTTGTCATCTGAACCTGAGTGCCCACTTTTATTTCAGCTTTATTGATTTATTTAATGATACTTTAAGATAATATTACATGAAACAAATAGGATATAACTAGAGAATATAAAAAAATTCTTCTAAACTGAAATCTGAAAAAGGTATCCAGAATTGCCGCTGCATTTCCCAGTTGTACAGCAATACTTATGCGTTGAATTAGAAAGGGTGTAGAACGAGTTTCATTAGTAACTCATCGGTAAATGATTAGCTTTGTGTTTAATCGAACCCAAAATATGACCCAGGGTATACATTTTCATGATAAATTTTCTATTCGTGTTAATTAAAAATTTGTTAAGTAATCCTTTAGAATTGTGGGAGTGAGATTTTTACTAATAGCAGATCGGACGTGCCTTGGGAAATTTTATAGTTTTATATAAAACCGGGCGGAAGTTTAAACTATCGCAAAGTTCAACTAAGGGCCGGTCTTACAATTACACTTTTACGGAGAATAAGATATTCTTGGAATAACTGCCATAGCAACATATATGCCATTGGTTGACAAAATGGTAACCAACGCAACCGTCGACATTTATTCTAGGTATAGCTTATTCTCGGTATATATCTTCATTGTAGAATCGGCCCTTATTGAACTTAAACCGGAGTCGGTATCGCAATTCGCGACTTGTGCGTAGCCAGTCCATTGTCAATGCCAAATTATTTTTCCGACGGATTGCGGAAATGGTACAATCATGACCAAAAAAAAGTCAACCTGCCGGAGCTTTCACCCATTGATTTTTCCCTCTTGTTTGACGACCTTTTGGAAATATCGGGTGACCAAAAATGAGTGACTGTCGAGTCGCCTTTGGAAGTTGAAGTTAAGTACGATTTCCCATGTAAAGAAAAATTCCAAAGGTCACTCATTTTTGATCGCTATATACGCTAGCAAGACAGCCCGTAATCGTGTCACATACTAGACGGGGTGCATGCAAAAGTTTTGTGTTGTGCTGTCCATGTCCCCGTATTCTAGTATAATAGAGTCATCGTTGCACAGAATAACTCTTCATCGTATTTTGCATATATCACGCTACGTAATTATTACTAATAAATAATAATCAAACGCAGTCGGGTGAATCGAAGCTGATTCACGATCGCTAAACTAAAACAGTTTTTCAATATATGTAATAGTTTCAATTTGCAGTATCAGTTTCCGTCGCGATATAAATAAATTACAGGACATGAGGACACAGGTCATTCAAAATTGAATTGACTTACTTGGAAGATCCTAAAACCGCCGTTGAATTAACTGCTAAATTCGCAATTGAAAGTATCCTTCAATTACCAGTTCGTCGACAAGCGCCGCCGTGCAATGAAAGATAATGAGATTTTCAGACAGGATGTTTTCAATGCAAATCATTCCATACTTTACCTATATTTTCGAGATTCGTATTAAAATCACCACGAGTTAAATTATAAATAAAAATTCGTAGCTATTCGTAATTTACATAATTCAGTGATAATTGAATACCCAAACACACAAGTCAGTTACGACTGTTACGAGGCAAGTATTCAAATCAATATTGACATTTCCAATTGAAAGACCGGTTACTGCATATTGATTTTTTTAATGTATCTATCTCTCGCGAACTACCTACACTTTCAATACACTAATGAATAGTGTCGTGCTGTTGGCCTCTCAAAAGGAGCCTAATTTGCACCGTCTGCTTCATGTAAATGACATCTACTTTTGCAAGGAGATCGCGAATTTCTTCTAATAAACACAAATCCATTTTCAATCTTGGCATGTAGTGGTTGTGAGCCTATCCATCATCAACAATGTCAGTTCGGCATCTCAAAAAGTCGTTATCCTATTAGACTGTGTACCGGGTAGTTAAAAGTTGCAACTTTTGGTCAGTTTTGCGTTAGATTGATGGAAGCAAAAAGATTATTATCGAAGCTGAAGAAGTTTGAAATTAGTTCATATTCAGAAAAATGTTATATATGTGGAAATGAGAGTAGTACACCACTACCACTGTTAAAAATAACCAAACGTAATACAAAAATTTCTTACGTCTTCCGTCGGCAGCTGGGGGGAGTAATCCTGTGAATAAAATTCATAATTAATTTAACAGTTCAGATGTATTTTAGATGATAAATATCTACTAAAGCGGCATTGTAAAACCATCGACCGGTCAGGAACAGAATGAATCTAAAAAAGGTGTTTTTCAACTATCCAACTCAATAAGTGTTCGAAACGAAATATCAAAATTTTGTGTTTTTCCTTTTTTGATTTCGTTTTCTATTATATCGATCTAGTTATCCAACTAACATTTCAAATAGTTCATGTCACAGTGAGAAGTTATAAATCCTGTTGCATATCAAATTCAAGGAGGGGTCTTAAATAAATATTGTTTTTTTTTTCAGAGTATTTCTTGCGAAAAAGGCGCCTAGCATCTGTTCGTCCCGTAGACTAATTGGGGGCTTTAGATCTCGGCACACAGATTTCGTGAAAAACGTGAAAACTCAATGTTATTAGTAAGGATATTTCAAATAAGTTTTAGGTACATGGGGTACAAGTGAAAAGTAAATCAGTAGTGCACGTAAAAACTGCGTTTCACCAATTTCAGTGAAAATGCGTATTTCCACTTTTTCATTCAGTGAAAGTATGCACTATATTAGAAATTGGCGATCTGTAAAAAGTCAGGGGTGAAAAATAAGTTTCAGCGACTCACGTCATTGCGTTAGCCGGGTTTCTGGAAAAGTTTGTTGTGTTTTTGCGCAAATTTCTGGACGCAGTTTTAAACAAGTATAAATTGTACACAACTCTTGTGCAGATAAAGCGCATTTTTTTAAACCGAAATAGCTTTGTAAATTGTTTCGTTATAAGGTAGTAGCGTGGTATATTTACCGATGTTTTCTTTCTTGTTAGATGATTAATAGGGAGACTTCACCAATAATGTCTCGTCCATAGAATATTCATTGTGCCTTTGTGGATACTTTCCTCCGTCAAAGCGTTTTCGAGATATTCGCTCGTAAAGTTTTGACATCACCAATAGATATATTTCTTACAATCATTTATATCCGATCACGATAAGGAGTCGGAGAGGTGGGTATGGTTGATAGAAATTAATTCCTTCCTTCATTAGAGTAACATGAAGGCCCCCCCCCCCCTCCCCCATCAAATCCCCTCTTTTGATAAGTAGTCAGAAAGTAGGGCCTGTAGTTGGTAGAAAACAGTTCCTTTTGTTGAGACCTTTAACTGGAATACCTACTGATCTCGGAAAAGAGTCGCGCAGAAAAGTTATAGTTTGTACAAACCAATTCATTGCGGTGATACCTTTCATTAGAATACCATGAAGGGTAGAACGTGTGTTCACCCCCCGCCCCCCATTTTGAAAAATTTTACTTGGCATCAGTAAAGAGATGCGTATGCAAATACTGATACTAGTTGGTGGTCGCATGAAATAATTCATTGGTGGGGGGGGGGGCTTCAGACTTGATCCTTGATTGGATTTTTTTTTATTCTTAAAAATGCGCTGAAAAATGAAGTAGTTGGAGATTGGCTGTTGGTAGAGAAATCAGATTCAGCCGAGAGGCAATGCGCGTTAACCCACAACCACGTTTACGTTGAGCAGTCCAAAAAGATAAGTCGCCCACCGTAAGTTACTACAGGGTGGTTTTAGAGTTTGGGAAAAAATTTAATGTTTGTGTGAATTCGGGGGAGAAATTAGGAATAGAAAACGGGTCAATGTAAGTTGGTGACTTCCAATTCAAAGGATAAATTGCGAGAAACAACAACGTGAACGCACGTAAATAGAACTACACTACCGCTCAAAAGTATGCAGCCACTAACATTTTTTTAATTTGTTATTCCTATACCTATATAAATTAATGGTGTTTTATATTTGCTTCAAAGGACTTTTTTCCAGTCTTCAACTGTCCAGTTGTGGTGTTGTCGAGCCCAAATTAATCGTTTATTTTTATAATTCCTCTTTCCCCAACTGATAACTCTCATTTTCTCCACTTTAGCAATGTTATTGGCTAAAACTTACCAGAAATGTTTTTTTTTGCATTTGAACTCTACTGGTAGAATAAAGGCAGATGAATCAAGTAAGATCTGTTGTCATTGACAAATAAACATTGCATTCGATTGTTCTATTCCAGACAACTTCAAAATGGGGGGGGGGGGGGTTTACGAATAAACACAAATTTGGTTTATTTGACTTGAATTTGTAGTTCCGTATCTGTTTTTCCTTTTAGAATTGCTTGTAATTGCGTAGTTTTTGACTAAAATTTTATCACCCTTGTCAATTAAGCAATTTAGATAAGATGCTTTAACTAAGACACACCTAATCAAATTTGCGTTATTTAAAACAGGTTGCACTGGTCGTTTGCGATAAGAAGCGAAATATAATCGCACGGGTTCTGTTACAACAGCGAGCCTTTTACTTCTTATTGAATGTTAAAAGTTTCCACCGTCCGAACAACCACCGTTTGCCATCTAATTCTATGTTATAAACCAAAGTGAATCACAAGCTGTCAGCCGAGCTGTCAGCATTTGTGTGTGAATTAAGTGCGCATTGTATCGCAAACCTTGTACTACCAGATTATTTGGATTATTAGGGAAAAAATGGCAGGTATTATTTATTACACTGCTATTATTTTGCCCACAACTGTAGTTAGTAGAATCAACTCACTGGGTAATAAATTGTTAATGCGGACTTTGAAAGTAATTAATAAAAGATGTACCCTAAAAAATTTCCACGGCCTTATCTTAATCAAAATGTTGTTGCTCATACCTTACTAAATAAATATGTTGTATAGCCAAAAGAACATTTCCCATTTTCCAATAGTTTTCCAAATCTTCTCAGCTTTCAGGACCATTCGAAAGAACATTGATATAAATCGAAAGCTACGTAATTCAATAAATATTGACTTTATTGTCAAAATGTTCGAATCGCCTCCAAAAGCTTTTCAGTTCTCGAGAACATTTAATTTAAGAGAACATGTATTCCAAATTCCAACCGAATTGGTCGAATAGTTTCGGCTGAACCTTGATTACAAGAATCACGCGGCACGTACACACATACACATACAGCCATACGTACACGTAAGTAATTTAAGATTTTTTTATTTTAATTGTCGGTTGCCTGCGTGCGGGGTAATGTCCAAACAAGCGTTGTAAGCTTTTCTTCCTTTCAGGGATTTTGTTTTATTTTATTCGTGTGTTTCGGAATACATTTTTGTCATTTTCAATCAATTAATAATTGTTATTATTATTATATTTATTACAACTGTACAATATTTACAAAATAATTGTGTGTTTATTCGAATCCATTATGCGACCCGGACAGTTTTCATGTTAGATTTTTCTTTTAGTTTTTTGTCAGGTTTTAATGAGAATTTGTGTAGCTAATTCTCTAATTTAAAGTCAACATTAAGATTTTTCTTTGTGACGACACCCGGACGTCTACGAGGAAAATAATTAGAATTCTAAATTAGCGGTTGTTTTGCTTTGAGCTATCTGGACACCTATAATAGGTGTTTTGTGTTTGATTACCATTTTACTTTTTTCCATGTTATATGTGGGGGGGGGGGGGTTTCGAATACGGTCCTGCCATTTTCAAGTCGTATGAAAACTTAAGACGTCGAGATGACGAAATTAACTAGATGTCAGTGACGATTTTCCAAGGGATCGCATCTGTTGTTGTCAAGCTTGCTAATTAGCGTGTGAATTACTGATTCAATTGTATTCCACTTCTCGTGGAGTTGATGTCAAGAAATCTCATTGGTTACAAACAATGTATTTCATTGGTGGATAAGGTTGTACGGCTCAGAATGGGTGTGAATTAAAAAAGAAAGGTGGTTGGTAGAGAGTCATGGGTAATGCGTTAAGCCACGATAGGAATGGAGTCGAGCCGTCAGGCAATTCGCGTAGGACGATTAAGGCTAAGTTAAGTCGGTCACCGCAGGTAGATATGACCTTTTTTATTTTGTGTTGAGAAAAACCCGCGTAAAGATCCGTCTGACAGCACGTATAAAGTAAACGCATGATTAAAAATTTCCAACTCAAGGGGGAAATTGCGAGAAATTTAAACAGTACATATAAAGTTGTAAGTTTTATTTACATACAGTGAATTTTTTTTAAATGCGAACATAGGAGTTTGCATGCAATGTACTTTCCCTATGTTCGATTTTAAAAAAAAACACATCAATTTATTGAGTAGTTCAAATGAGTAGTAGATACAATTGACAGCTGTCACAGTTTTAAAAATACCGCCGTCCAATTTAATTACGAAATCGGTTAGGTAGAATGTCAAGGAGGACACTTCGAACATTTATTGTAATTGTTTTCGGTATTTATTTTCTTATTTTCTTCATTTATGTATTAAATAGACCAAATTAGTACAATACCAGGTGCACAATATGACCTACAAATAATTGAAGGTTGGTTCACAATGAGTTGTGGTGTCAGTGCGTGGCCTGTGAGGTCAAGTTATCGTAAGTTTAAGAAAAATGTATCCTAAAGTTGCTATGGCCTCACATGGCTTCTTTAATGACAATCTTACCGAGTGCTCTTCATCATAAAGACTATAGAGTTGCTTTTCATAGTCACACAAGTTGCGCGATTTGGAAGTGAACCGCGCACACCTCATAGATTGATGTGTTTTTTTTTAAAATCGAACATAGGGAAATTACATTGCATGCAAACTCCTATGTTCGCATTTAAAAAAAACTCACTGTATGTACATATGGATTATTAAGCGCAAGAGCAAAGCAATGGTATCCGTCTGTCCGAGAACACGATAACTGTCAAACGCTTGGGCCGATTTAGTTCAAACTTTGCACAGTTGACTTAGTATATGCCACATGTAACAAGTCTATTGAAAATGGGCCAAATCCAATGACCCCGTAGGATCACACCGAGGTGCTCTGCCGATTTTTTAGATGCTCTTTAGGATCGTCACTAATTTTTGTTCAAGGACTACATTGTATAGTATTTCGTCGTGGTTAATTAGGAATGGTGAATTTTTAAAGGCAAGTGGATGGCGCATTTGGCTTTCATCTCCGCTTCATTCCCTCTTGCGGAACGAAGAGCAGTTGTTTGCATCGCGAAAAATTTCAATGAAGGCGCGATTGCAAAATTTGAAGATTGTTTCTGGCGATTGACCGGATGTTTGTTTGAACTCGAGATCGAGATACTTTTTTTCTCTCACATGGAGGCTATAAATTTAGTTTCTTAGTGGCTGCAAGATTTGCTTAACCACCTTTGTTGTCCTGTGATAACTTTTTATGTCGCCCCCTTATTAATTACAGGTAGGTTAGGATTTGTGTTCGAAAGGGGTTTTGGATTTCACGTTTTGTGATTGTAATTGAATTGCCTATTTAGATAGGTATGTTATGTGTAGGTTCTTCAAGAAAGGTATTTTTCTACTTTTTTGCATTGATTAAACTTTTTTTGTAGTATACTATCCTAGTTACATGCAAAAGGTTAGTATGTAGTACTCCAGAAACATGCAATAATAATAATAAAAAATCTTACTCTTGCCGCAGACAGATGTGGTGAGTAACCCTGCGAAGAAAATCTGTAATTAATTTAATTATATTTTCAGTTCTGGAAATGGATTGGAATGAAATTCCAGCTCAAACGAATATTTACTATGTAGTTAATAAAATATTTAATTTAGTAATTTTTTAGTTCTGGAATTAGGCCTACTTTTTTTGGTTTCTTTCTCGATGGTATTTTTATTTATCATAAATTCATAACGATTAATGAGACATTGTAAAATTTTCACGCTCCTTAGCACTGTTACATACGCCTGCAGGATGCGGCAGTAACAAACGGTGATTGCGTCATGTGGTTGTAACATAACATTTATTCACGGTAAATACACGATTAACAACGTTATGATCTATGGAAAGTGCCGACGTCACTCTACAGGTATTCAATTTATCTTTTTCATGCATGTTTTTGTCGATCTTGCCATTGTGTAATGCAAAGTTCATGGTGAACAGTTATACTACCTATCTAGTAGTACTACCGCCATCACAAGCAGATGTAATTGAAGGTTAACAATAAATTATACTTTGCTCATCGCTGATTATTACACAGCATCACGCTGCTTACACAGAGGATAATTAATTACATGGGAATCTTCTTGGTCAAGGCAATCAATTTTTGCCAACATTCGCGCTACCGGTACGGTACAGTACCTTGTCAATTAAGTATTAATACATACCTACTTTAGAAATAGTGCGGGAGCCCTACCACTACCCTGTGGCGCATCAAAATTTCAATTTATCCCAGTTATTGAAATCTATTCAATGCACGAAAATGACAATGCACATAGTTCCATGTGTAAAAAGTAGGTATTTAGACTGATGTATTATTATCTCATTATCTTAATCTCGAAGTTGATATAATTCAATTTGTGTCACTAATGAGGTATGCGTACTTGGGCTTCCTGTATCTGATTATTTACATATGAATAGATTAATGTTAATTACCTTCATGTAGGTATATATAGTATATGTTGTGAGACGTATTTTACTAATTACAGCCAGACAGATTACGCATTATATTATATCTACTATTTGTTGAGGCCTAATTAATGGCTTGGCATTTTTTCAGACGTTGATTAGTAATCCTTTATAGAGAGAAGAGAGTGTCCATAAAAGGTTGAAGTTTCTAAAACAAACTTGATCAATCCTGCTCTAATGCTGCTTCCATTGGAAATTATATGCGTCTGTTGATCTTTTCTTTTCAATTTTTGAACTCAGATGATTGTATTATATTCGTCACAAACCAAATGTTCACCTCACGTCTTCACTCACGAGACTCTTAATGCCAGCTGTTCTACGTGGCCATGTCGCGACTTCACCTAACTCCTTCGCTTTTCATCCTCACTTTTACAAATACGCGTTCAAAATCTGCTACTAATTGATTGATCCTTTACCATGCTCAGAAAAGCAAGGGGGTGATGTACGTATATCGAGGAAGCGAGCGAGGAAGTTTTTGAGGTATTTATCTCAAATTTGGAATATAAGTTAGGTACTTATTCGCATACATCATATGGTACTGAGAATCTACAGGGTGATGTGTTTTTCAGGTCATGGTTCATGTTCTATCCCTAAACCTATCAATCAATTTTCGATAGACAAAGAAAGTAAAATTCTTAAAGTGGTCCAGTAAGACCTGGATAATTTCTTGTTTTTATTAGTTGTATCTTGTGTTTACATATGTTTATAATTTAAAGGTTTAATTTGTAAAGTGCACGGTGAAATTATAACACCCTGTAGATCGATAACGAAGCTTTTATGGACCTAGGTTTATATGAACTTTCAGTCATAAAATAAGTCAAAGAACCCTTCCGTATGTACAGGGTGTCCCATTAATAATGGTCACAGCCCATATCTCTGGAACCGTTGATGGCAGTTTCGGAAAAAAAATTTTGATAACAAAAGATGCCAAGAGAAATCCCTGGAAATTATTTTCAGTTTCTAGCTTCGCCGCTAGATGGCGTACAATTCATGGTTAAGTAGAAAAATGACTTTTTTCTAAAATATACCTAACAAACATGCTTAAAAAATACATGCATAGCAATCTTGTATCAATTTTGTATCATTTTGATGCAGCACATATCGCTCTAGCTCATAAAATATGAGGGGTGGGGGAAGGGAAACATCTCTTTAAGCTCCCCACCCCATTTTTTACGAAAACTCCAATTCAACCACAAAGTCGACTTTATGTAGAGAAATTTTGAAAATACCATCACCACAAAAATTACCTAAAAATAATATTACATACAAATTGAAAACTGCGAAAAAGAGCTAAATAGGAAAACCGTTTAAGTTCATAGACTGAAAAGTAAAACATCTCGTTTCTCCACAGGTTAGACATCACGCGATCGGTAGACCATTTTTTTTTTGTTTCTTATGACATCAACTTTTTCCAACAAAAATTTCATCTTTGTAGAAAAGAGTTCAATCGAATAATTTTTTATGCATCTTGCGTGGTTGGTAGACTTGTGATAACAACGCTTCCAGCTCGGTAGACTATTACCATACTTCATTTTTAGGTATACTTAATTACTGTACAAACTTTCATTCTTGTAGAAATGAGGCATGTAGGTACATATTATTTATTAACATGTTCAGAACATTGTTGCAAATTTAGGCAACACCGTCGACACGGTAGACTACCGTTTTGTTTACTTGTACTATCAAAACAATAAAATGGCAGAAAATCATCTTTGTAGAAATGAGTGCACAAAAAATGTGGCTGCCTCCTGGACTATGTGGTTAAGCAGGGGTGTTGGGATGACAACCACTGCCTATAGCTTAGGCCTATAGTGTGATAAACTTCATTATTATTATTAAGTAATTAATTAATTATTAAATACACGTTTTTCTTTTTTTGTTTCATTCACAAACTCATTCTAAAGTAAAGGGAAAAACGCAAAGAATTGTACATGATCTCTATTTCTAAAAGGCACTAAAGAACTATTAATGCGGAAGACGTTTTCTAAATCCAGCGACTTCACGAGTTTACAGGGTTAACGGCCAAAGGCAATCGTTAATCTGATCACGATGAAGAAATTGTCGCTACAATGCCTAACCATTCATGAATTTCCGTCCGCCTAACCCAAAAACGGTGGACGTATTCTTCTAAATTTCACATTTCTCCGAAAGGAAGGTCTAATGAACTCATCAAATCTCCGCGTAACTTCGGACCGGTTATCTTCGAACGCAACTGAGCACGTAACATATAAATTGCCATAATTAACAAAGAAATTTGTAAATAATAACAATTATTTTAATAACGTAATTTGCATATATTAGAATTTTTGAGGTAATTATAGGTAATTAAGACGCAAGGTAAATATTATTTAAGAAGGTTTGTTAAGCAACCTTTTTTTAATAATCAATTAATCCGAAACACGATGTATGGCACATTTCGACAGCGATTTTGTAATTTATTATTTTTGTAATAAACAAGTTGCCCACTGATTCAGAAATGCAAATTTGTCTGGAATAATCGGAAATGTCCGTCATTAATCACTATTGTTTCCCAATTGATTCGTTATCGCCTCGCTTATTACGTTTTAGGTTTGTCAGAATAGCGTAGATTACAGTCAACTTGATAGATAAGACAATAATTATTGTAGTACAGTCTCCAACATAAAATTAGTTCCTCTGCAACAAGGTCATAAGCACGTTTTGCCGTTTCGCCGACCAAATTGCTGAATAAGTATAGATTTTGTTTGGGTATCATTCCAAAAATTTGTTTCTTACAGCAATTGCGACAGGGGGATATCTATCAAATGATTCATCACTCAGCTCAATCGATTGTCTAGTGCTGACAATGAGATTTTTTGTTGTCTATAGCCTCTATTGGTATTCTATGGTAGCCTTTTAAAAGACGCAAAAGCCTACCAGAAAATACTAGTGAACATCAAAGCATAGGTACCACTTCCATTTTTATTTAAAACGTCATCACTTTTATCTTCAAATCACTAATCTTTGTTTAAATTGCAAACAAAATCATTAGAGAGCGCGAATCGTGTAGCCTTTTCATGACTTCGGATGCTAATCTCTTCTATGAGTTTAACCTAATCCTCGAGCTAATCGATTCAAAAAGCCTTTAGTGTAATTATGACACTACAAATGCTAAATACAAGTAAACACAACCGTTATAAACAATTAGTTAACTAATCTACAATAACATCGTACCTATACTGCATGTTCATTATCGTTATAATCGCAGACGTTTAACGGTTATTATCGTTATTAAAATATAAAAGTGTAACGGCTTTACACTTTCTTAAGCCAATGTAGATTATTATATAATATTGTTTATTAAAAGTAAACGGGTTTTCAATCTACGAGTATAGGTACGTGTGAATTGACCTTACAAATAGACCATAGTCTAAGAAATTAACATTAACTACATTAGAAGACAAAAAATAGCAGTCTAGATCTGAGAGCGCGCTACGAAATAAATTTAAATGAGCATCCTCATCGCTACTTTGCTATTTCAATGAAAATTAATCGTTAATTTTAATACGTTGATCCACATGTTCTATACTAGACGCTCATTTAAATTTATTCCGTAGCGCCGTAGCGCGCACTCAGATCAAGGCGGCGCGGCGGCGGCGTGCGCATTCGGGCAAGTGAATCAGCTGATGCTGTGGCATAATCAAATCTACATTTCGGAGAAGCATTTTTGATATGTTAATCAGCAGATTTTGTACTTTAATGGTGGGTTTATACAATCATTATCACTGCACTCCACCTTGGTGTTTGCTCACAAACTTAAAAAAAGGATAGTTATCAACTACTCGCAAACTATCAACCGCTACACGCAGCTAGACGCATACCCACTACCAAATATGGAAGAAGTCGTCACCACCATTTATTTTTTTATTTTTTTTAATTTATTATCCCTCTCTTGTTTTCGGCCCTCAACAGAGTGATCTGCATAATACTTTTTAGAGGTGCCTCTGCAGAAGGTCTTAAGTTGTTCTGTACTACTCCGGTATTTACCTTACGAATTAGGGAAACTGCAGTTTT